CCCCAAAACCCCAAAACCCCAAAACCCCAAAACCCCAATATATCGACAAGTGCTGGATTATACATAAAATAATTTAAGAAATAGACCAATGGAAGAGTTAACGTAAGACCAAAGCTGACTTTTAGTAAGGTAATTAGGGAAGGTTAGGGATATAGCAAATTAAAGAAAGTAAGTACTGACGTTTGGCGATGGGGTTTTAGGGTAATAGCGTTGGTAGTTGGTGTTAGTACTGTATCGTAATGATTTACATAGTCCAAGAAATAGTTCAAGACCATAAAGCAGATATTAGTTACTTGAAAACTTTAGGAGAAGGGCACGACTCTCAGTTAATTTCATTCTCAAATACTCTTCCAGCTATTGAAAAATAAGTTAATGACTTGTCAGTATGAGATGGGGTCAATTATGGGTGATATGAAGCACAAAGCTGAGAACGGTGATCTCAAAGACTTACGAGGAACCATTGAGACTGAATTTGCTACCAAAACAGACGTTGAAAAAGTCTCCAGTCGTTTTATCAATTACACTAAAATTAAGGTCACAGAGAGTCTTAGGAAAGAGTTCATTGACTTTTCTGAAGAATGTAAAGCAAAATATCTCTGTGAAGAGAATATTAAGAATTTATTCAATATGCTTAGAGACGAGATTTATGGTACATTCAGTCAAAAGAACAATGTCAAGAACGAATTCGATGCTTTTGAAAAATAAAATACCTTCCTTAATAGAGGATATAAGTAAACTTAAAGGACTCACTAGCAAGAACTCCAAAGATGTTTCTGGTATCCTATGAAATCTTGCACTAATTGATCAGGCCTTGAGTAAGAAGTGAGATTCTGATACTTTCAATTCTTTAAAAGCTAACATGAGTAACTATACTTCCTTATCCCAGATGGAGACTTTTGGGGCAGAGTTTGATTCTCAAATTCAGAAAATTTCTGAAACCCAAGTAGAGGCAAAATAATGACCTAAATAACATGTCTATCATAATCAAGAGATTTGATGAAGTCTTAAATGAGAAATGCTCGAAGTTCACTGTAGAAGAAGTCAAATCAAGCATTGCTGATTTCATCACCCAGCAACAAAATAAAGATCTAAAAGATGGTATATGGTTCTGTTATATTTCTAGAAATTGATGAGAAAATAAGGGCTCTTGATGATAAGATAAGTTTGTTACAATCAAACCTCATTAAAAACAACTCTGATAACTTGGGGACTGTTGAAAATGCCATAAAATTAGGTACTCTTCAGTATAATTCATAGCTTCTTCTCAACTGACTCATTCGATTCTACCAATGAACAGTCCAAGATTTCGTGAAAACACTGAATTACCTGGGTCTGGTCCTGGTTTAGATTTTACAAATCAAGAAATTGATTTAAAAAATCCTAATTCTCATCGGTAAGCCATAAACCAATCTGTAGGCAAAGCGTTGACATGTTAAGCTCCGGACTCAACCCCTATGCTGCCATAAACAAGAAGAGTTTAGATAAGGTTCACTCCTTTAACAGGCTTGGGAATTTTGGAATAGATTTCACATCGAGGAAGAATTACCGATCTAAAAGTAATATGAAACTTATGCATCATTCAAATATCAGTATTTCCAATGCTTGACATAACATATAGACCCAGCATCGGTGAATATACACAAAAGAAGGATCAACAGTAAACAGAGATGGTTAAATTTAGACTCAACTGTGCATAATTTTTCAATTATCCAATCCTTAACGCCCAATTATCCGAAGTTTCAGACCAATGATGCTAAGGTAAGTAATTTAGTGAGAGCTATAGAACTTGCTAAACAATACAATGGGAGGAGTTGGAGACAACTCCATGACCATAAGTCAAAAGAAAATGGAGACTATTCCTAAGACAAAGAACCTCAAGCCACGGTATCCCAGTAAAGGTAAGCCTGCAAGTCTCATGGATTTTTAGAGAAGTTCAAAATTGATAAGGTCGGAACGAAAGCAATGAATATGCTAAAAAATACTCCGCAAGGATTATTTAAAGTATGAATTTTCTTATTCTTAGAACCCGATTTCAATCTCAAGAATCAAAATCAAAACTGTTGCAAAAGACATAGCCAAAGTGAACGTGTCACCTAGAGAAGATGAGATGAACTCTCAGTGCTCTAGTGATGGTAATATTCTATGTTTATGTACAGAAACTCCTCTGATACCGGATTCCTCCCTCCTACCGAGTATCCTTAAGAAGAAGAATTAACTTGGCTAGCGGTTGAACATTCAATTTATTACGAAAATTTGGGGTTTTGGGGTTTTGGGGTTTTGGGG